AAATAACTCAAGTGTTAATTTGTTAGGAAGAAAGGAACTCAGGTGTTACAGGGAAGTCGGATATCGTGAGACAAGAAACCAAAGTCAACAAAGCAAAGTAAGTTTTAATGCACTGTGCATAGCGTAACAGAGTGGGCCTTTCTAAGGTAAGACAGGCCCAGATACTCATTCTGGGGCTCCTTTTATGTGGTTTTGGCAGGTCAGAGGAGCCCTTGATTGACAGCTCTTAGCTCTCTAGGCTTGTTCTGATTAGTGCAATCAGGACATGGGCTGTACTGTGCCTGTGCTTCTGCTGTTTCTTAACTGGGGAGACCCTGGACATTTCCTGAGTCACTCTTGGACCTTGTGGCTTCTCTGATTAACTCTCTGAGTCATTTCTGGTTCTCTGGTTCTATGTGGTCAACTCCTTGCCCCTCCCTTGCATACTGCTTATTTCTGTCTTTCTGCCTAACAAATTCATCAATTCAGAAGAGTAAAATTTTTCTTTATTATAATGAAAATAATGAAATATGCTACATAAGGAGATGGGAACTGGAAGTTTCTGATGTCATCAGTAAATGTGGCTTTGCTCAAGACATGTCCTAATATGATTCTGTTTGGCTTCCTTTGTTCACAGACTTTTTTTAATAAATAACAAGGTAAAACTGGAGAATGTAACTTATCATAAAAAAAATGAATTCTTGATGAAGATAACACAGGTAGGAAGATAGAAATGATTATTTTTAGATTATAATTAGATTTACTTTTAGTTTTTATTTTGAATAAATGAGAAATGTGAAATTTTCTAAAAGTAGAGTTTTCATTAGTTAATAATAATCATGATCATTTACAGTAATTGATTTAAAGATTTTATCCCCTCCCCAAATACTTTAAATATATGAAAGAGCAAAGGTTGTCACATTTTTACAGTATTGAGGTTTCCAACCCTGAACATGGCATCTCTTTTATTTTACTAGGTCTTCTTTGTTCTCTGTGACTTAGTTGTTCAGTTTTACCAAGATATGTCCAGGTTTTTCTGCTTGGCATTTATTGGGCTTCTTAAATTTGTGAACTGTTATATTTTGTTAAGTTCTGCAAAATTCTTAGCCATTATCTGCTCACATATTTCTTTTGTCTCTTTCCTCTTTTTCTGAGACTCCAGTTATATATATGTATACAATTATTTGTACTAATATACCTATCCTAGACAATATCCATCATATTATTGATAAGGTTTCACAAATGCCTAGGGTACCTAACTGGTTTTCTTGGTTTCACTGGATATGGCTGGTAATTGTAGGTCTGCTTTTGTTATGTATCTGTATTCCTATTCTGTTAATGTGTGTAAGCAATTTAATTAGTAGTTTGTTAAAAACCTATACATGCTTATGTTACTCTAAAAGAAGATATGTCAAAGAAATAATCAATCTTCCCATGTTTTCTTCCGTCTGCTACTTCTATAGCTTTTCTTCTTCCTTCCTAATTACAGCCCTTTAGTAGAATCGTGCCTCATATCGAAAATTACCGAGTATCATAATTCTTCCAAGTGGTAAAGATATCTCAAGACAAATGCTGGGCATAGAAGCCACAGGGCATAAATCTGCAAAGAAGTAAAAAGCTAACCTTTTCAAAGAATATTGCTTTTCTCTCACTTACCAACTTTACATTTCCCTGTATGGCCCCGGAAGACGGCTGGTTAGCCAGAGACGGGTAAGACTACTCAAGGGAGGAACAACCTAAGACAGGCACAGTCACAGGGGGGCCATCAGGTGAGAAATTGGGGATCAACAGAGGTGAGGCTTAGAACCTCACTCCCCCTGTTTTGAGAGAAATCTTCTGCATCCGTGGATGTTTTGTTGCCCTTGTCTAGCTTGGATTAATACTTAGTCTATAGGCACAGACCTGATCATCTGCATTTGCCCTCCTACAGCACTAAATTATGTTTTCTACCTTTATCTTGCATCTACCTACCACTTCAGCATTTCATTAAAAAAAATAATAATAATAATAAGG